ATGGTACACAATCATACAATACTGGGAATCACGACCCAGCCAAGCTGAAAGATATTTTGGGGGGACACAATTCAATCCATGACACCATCACTGAGCTTCTGGTCAGTGGGAGAGACAAACATAAATAAATGTACACCAAAATAAATTCTTAATTACAAATTCTACCAAGAGCTAAAAAGAAAGAAAATACAGAGCTGAGAAAGAATTAAGAGGGAGGACTACTCTTCCACTAGGAAGATGGGGAAAGTATTTGATAAAATGACATTTCATCTGAGATGTGAAGTTAATCAGCCAGGACTGTTTCACATGATGCAAAATGTTTAAAAACAATACGGTGATTCAAAAGTTTCAAATAATGAGAAAACTCCAGCTAGCTTAACATATTTTTTTTTGGTGAAAATATACACAGCAAAACGTACACCAATCTAACAGTATCTACATGTACAATTCAATGACATTGATTACATTCTTCAAGTTGTGCAACCATTCTTACTATCCTTTTCCAAATTATTCTACCACCATTAATATAAACTCACTGCCCCGAAAGCTTCTCATCTAACCTTTCAAGTTGCTGATGTCAATTTTCTTCCATACAGATAATTCTTTAAAATAGCACAATGCTCAAGGCAGATATTCTTTACTAATTAAGCTAAATTATTGTTTGGTTTAAAGATGACTTCAGGGGATAACAGTTTCAATTTAAGGTTTAAAGATTATCTCAGGGCAAAAGAGTCAGGGGATTGTGAGGAGGCTCATCCAACTTCAATGGCTCCAGAAAGTCTGGAGTCCATGAGAGTTTGAAATTTTGTTCCACATTTTCTCCCTTTTTACCAGTAATGGTAGCTGGGCACCATCCAGTTCTTCTGGTCTCATGGCAAAGAAGGCAGTCGTTCATGGAGGCAATTAGACACACATTCTAGTACCACCTCCAATTCCTGCCTCCTGCTGCTGCTCCAGGTGAATAGAGACCAGTTGTTGTAACTTTGATAGCCATTCACAAGCTTGGAAGACCCCAAGCACTACGTGATGAACTTGGAGGCGGAACAGAAACACTAAAAACAGTATTAGGCCAACTGACTGAATGTCCCATGAAACCATGACCCTGAATCTCCAAACCAAGAAAGCAAATCCCACAAGGTATTTGGTTGTACATTAGCATCAGCAATGAGTTTTCATTTAAATGAAAAGTCAAGGAATAGAGCTAGCTGGCCTTAAGCCCAGCTGAATCTTGGGGCTCAAATAGTTATCACACCTCAACCCTCTCTCTCTCTCTTGCTTGGGTTATTCTGTGTTGGCGCCATTCTCAGGCAGACTCTTTATGGTGGGAAAATGGTGGCCAGCAAGCATCTCCAGGTATATATCTCTGCATCTCCTGAAAAGAAGTGTGCTTCTCATTCCCATAGTTCCCCAACATCCCAGAATCATACTGCCTTGTTTGGGTCACATGCCCATCACTGATTAGGGTAGCCAGAGGACTGTGATTCACTTAGCTGAGCCTGGAACTGAGGATATGTTCTTCAAGGAAAATCGGAGTTTTGTTTCCTATGAAAGCGTAGTAAACTATGGGGCAGAAAAAAACGTTAGTTGTCTACTGCATAAGGATGAGAGGGAGAGTTAGCTAAGCAGAGTCCTACTGCCGTCGAGTCAACTCTGATTCATAGCAACCCTACAGGACAGAGTAGAACTGCCACATAGGGTTTCGAAGGCTGTAATCTTATGGAAGCAAGCTGCCACATCTTTCTTCCATGGAGTGGCTGGTGGCTTGGTACCTCAGACCTTCTGGTTAGCAGCTGAGAGCTTAACCACTGTGCCACCAGGGGTCCTCAAGGAAAAAGTGGGTGGGAAAAAGTATTCTAGACAGAGAGGACATAGCAGTGTGTGTGAGGCTATGGGGCCGGGATGAAGTGAAGGATGGCTTGTGTGGCTACAGAACAGGTTGCAAGAGGGAGACTGACATGAGATTTGGAGAAGCTGGGGTCAAATTATGTAGGCCCTGGGGGGGTCTTAGATTTCATTTTAAGAGCAAAGGGAAGATACTGGAGTTTTAAGCAAAGGAGAGACATGTTTCAAAGATCACAATATTTGAAGCTTGAGAAGTTAGAAGCATCAAAGTTCCAGTAATGGAAATTAGGATCAGAGGAGAAAAGCAGTAAGGGATAGGGAAAGAACTTGTTTTCATCTTGTTCAGAACTTCTTTTTTTAACCAGCAGGATTCCTTTTTCACAAAAAATCTTTCCCTGAGCCCCAATATGCAATACAGTTGAGAGAGGGTCAGCTCTGGTCAAAGGTGGGGAGGAGACTCTTGTATTTTTTAAATTTTACTTTGCTTTAGGTGAAGTTTAAAGCACAATTAGTTTCTCCTCAAAAAGTTCATACACAAATTGTTTTCTGACATTGGTTGCAATCTCCGCAGTGTGTCAGCACTCTTCCCCCTTTCCGTTCATCCAGTTTTCTTGTCCCTTCCTGCCTTCTTGTCTTTGCTTTTGGGCAGGTATTGATCATTTGGTCTCATATACTTGATTGAACTAAGAAGCACATTCCTCACATGTGTTATTGTTTATTTTGTAGGCCTGTCAAATCTTTAGCTTGAAAGGTAGACTTCAGGCATGGCTGCAGTTTTGAGTAAGAGTGTATGAAGTTCACAGTCTCAGGGGTTCCTCCAGTCTCTGTCAGAACAGTAAGTCTGGTCTTTTTTTGTGAATTTAAATTTTGTTCTACGTTTTTGTACCGTTCTGTCTGGGACCCTCTGTTATGATCCCTGTCAGAGTGGTCGGTGGTGGTTGCTGGGCACTATCTTGTTCTTCTGGGCTCAGGTTGGTGGAGGCTGTGGTTCATGTGGTCTGTTAGTCCTTTGGACTAATCTTTTCCTTGCGTCTTTGGTTTTCTTCATTCTCCTTTGCTCTGGATGGGATGGGACCAATATGTATCTTAGATTGCCGCTCGCAAGCTTTTAAGACCCCAGACACTACTCATGAAGGTAGGATGTAGAAATTTTCTTTATGAACTGTTATGCCAATTGACCTAGATGTCCTATGGGAAAGATAAATTTCTGACAAACTGAATCTGAGGGCCATCATGAAACAAGTGGAGATATCCATCAGGCAGTCAGAAATGCTTAATACAACATTCTTTACTTCCCATCTTAAGTCCCTCTCTAGCTGCTACACCATTTCTCTGCTCCCTTCTTTAGCAGAACTCATCAAGACAGCTGTTTAAACCCATTGTCTTTACTGCCTCACCTCTGTTCTCTCTTCAGTGCACTCATGACTGCTATCCTCAGTACTCCACAAAAATTAATCTTGTCAGGGTTGTTAATAATATCGATCTTGCCAAATCAAATGGTTAATTCTCAGTTCTCTTTTTACTTGAATTCTCAGCAACATTTAGCAAAGTTGGTCACTCTCCTTACAATATTTTATTCCTACTTCACTGTCCTCTTTTCATTCTCCTTTAGATTACTCTGCCTCTTTTCAGTCTCTAAAGTTTGGAGAAATCCAGGATTCAGTCCTTAGTACTCTTAGAAGACACTCACTCCCAAGCAATCTTATCCAGTTCTGTGGATTTAAATACATGTATTTTATGGTAAATAGTAAAAGAAAGATTGATATAAATGTGGGAGTCATCAGTATATATAAGGCTGACCTTGAAAAATAAAACTAAATTTTTTAAAAATAATTTCTTTTACTGTATATTTAACAAAAATTAAATTATAATTGCAACTACATGCTAATTCCTAGAACAAAGATTAAATCAAGTGTTGAATTTTCAAGTGGGACGATTTTCTGACATTTTAAGAGCACAATATGACAGGTCTTCACATTTGACTTTCGAAGCACAATCGTAAAAGAGGGTCATCTTTACTGCATGAGAGTCCCCAAAGCCTGTTTCAGCCTTTGAAGTACCTTGTCATGACACTTGTCAATTGTTTCTTCTCAAATTTTTACTTGGTCTCCACATTAAGCCAGGTCCTTATTTTCTTACTGTCTGTAATTTGAAAAGTTCTCCAACAAGCATTTTCATGAACTTAATAAAGGTAAAATTACTTTCCCAATTATAGATAGTACCCAACTTATGACAGGGTTCTGTTCCTACAACTGCGTCATAAGTCAATTCTGACATAAGTTGAATACCTAATTTTTTTTTGTTTTTAAGTTTTCATTATTATTGCCTATTATTATTAGTATCTTTATAAATTCAGTCTTTATTTGTCTTTAGGTGTTGGCATGAGAATGATAACATCAGCAAATTATGCACTGCAACACTGTATGGAGTACATATTACTAACAATAGGACGTAAACAAACAAAAAAAAAAACAGAACCAAAAAATGGATGGTTTTAAGTGTGGTTCATCGTAACTCAAATATGTCGTAAGCCAGGGACTGCCTGTATACTTAAATCAGAAGGATCTTAGCCTTGATCTGAAGGGCAATTTGAAGCTATCAGGGAACTTTAAAGGTATATGTATATAGTCTCCCATCTCCTCTGGCCAGGTGATTGTCCAGGGGAGGGCACCTTGCTCCAGATGAGTCAATGAGAAACCTTCCCTGAGATTTAAGAATTTGGGACCAAAGTGAGGCACAGTGTCTGTTGGGTGGTCAAACTGGAGAGGTAAACCTGGGTGATGCCAGCAGTCATGTGGTGGAAGAAGCTGATTTGAGAGGATGAAGTTGACACACAGAGAAAAGTTGAGATGAAAAAAGAAGAAAACCACATATCCTGACAGCATGTGAGTCTCTAATACCAACTGCCTGTGACCTACCACAGTGTGGTTTATCTAGGACTGTAAAGGCCTCACTTTCCCTAAATTTAAGCTGTGTTTGTCACTTGCAGACAACAACCGAGTCTTAAATAAAAGAGCACTGCTGAAATAAAAAGGGTAAAAGATGTTGGGAGAGTCACGAGAGGAGAAGAGAGCAGGCAAGGATAGAATCCAGGGAAAAGCCCTATCTGCATGAGAAGATCATGCTTTGCTTTATTTGAGTAACAAACAGTAATACTCTTTTTTTTTTTAATTATTTGATCTGCTTTCTGATTTATTTTAACCACTCAGTTAGATTAAACAAGGTAAATTTGAAATCACAAAACAGCGATTATCTTTAAAAGCTGAATGACTGGAGTACAGTTTAACAAGATTGAGATCAAAACAAATCAAAACTTAATAAAAAGCATGCTATGACATCAAATGTCCATGGTTCTTCTTTAAAATGGGTTGGTTTTAACAAGGGGAGAAGAGGTACGGGAATGTGAATAACAAAACTAAGTCCATCTCTACTTTCATTTCATTTACTCAGTTTCTATAATGGATGACTCCACTAGAACTTCTGCAAATAGAAACAGATACATACAAATAAATAATATCAAGTATAACTAAAAGCCGTCAACAAAGCAGATGACACACTGCTGAAGCTATATATTTTTACACTTCTAAAATAGTTGGGAATAGATGCTGAATGATATCATCAAACTGATAATTTGGGAGTCTGAGATGCAAGGACCTCACACTCTATATCAAAAGTTAAGATGGGCTATTAAGCTAAGCTGTCAAATTCAATTAAAAACAAAACTTTTTTACTACCATTAAAATATTGATTTTTAAATGTCCTCGGATAACACACATACTGTCTTTAGAATGGTAACATACTCACTTTCACCAGTTTTCTTTGTTGCAAACATCTTGAATGTTTGGTCCTTTGTGTTTAGTAAGAAAGACTTTCCTGGGTGGCACTGCTTTAACGGCTACTGGAGTAGCTAGGTTTGAATTGTATTTTGACAAAATCTAAAACAAAAAGCAGATTACTTTTTACCAAGTTATACAAACAACATAACAACATAAATTTGGAAGGTGTTATAAAAATTTCAAGAAAAGTCATGGGAAAGAAGTCTACGGAAAAACTGAAGATGTGGATTACTTACAGCACTATGAATTTTTTAGCAGCATATACAAGATATTCAACAGCAGTGAATAAAAGATGGATTCAAATTTAATTTGGATGTGGAGCCTTGATTTCTAAAGCTTTCTAAAATGCACTCTAAGGTTAATGGAAACAAGTAACAATGCATTCCTGAAAACAAATGAAGTCTTTACAAAGATGTTTGGGAAAATATATATAGAAAATATCAGCTATAAAGACTATAAAAGGAGAAATCTGAAATATCAGCAATATTTTTTTCATAAACAAAGACGTGATACTTGAAATACAAGGTTTCCTTTCTTTCCTACAGAAAAAGGAGAGAAGAGTCACCCAAAGGGAAGTGGAAATAATACAACTATAAAGAGAGAAAAGGCTCTTTCCTCACCCAGTTTACTATAACTCCCAGGAAAGCAGAAAATACACAGAAAAAAAGATAACAAACATTTAAACAATATCTTAGGATGAGTCAGTTCTAACGGCATTTGGGTATTTTCCCAAGTGGCTTTATCCTTCTCATGGCTTTCCATAAGCTAGGAGGATTTCTAGAATGTTTTTTAGGAATTCCACTTGCCTGAGTAATGATTTCCAGACACCGTGACTTCTGTTAAAGGGGAGCTCAAAGAATCAGACCGGTTATTTAGCAGAGTTAACAACTGTTCTAAATTCATAGTACACTAGTGGTAAATGGGACACCCTGGTGGCGTAGTGGTTAAGTGCTATGGCTGCTAACCAAAAGGTCGGCAGTTCGAATCCACCAGGCGCTCCTTGGAAACTCCATGGGGCAGTTCTACTCTGTCCTATAGGATCGCTATGACTTGGAATCGACTCAACGGCAACGGGGTTTTTTCTAACGGGGTTAGTGGTAAATGAGGTTGCACTAAAGAACCAGAGGTTCTAATAACATAAATCAGTATTTCTCAAACTGAGGTCTCCAAGAAGTCTCAAGTTCAAGAAATGCTGATTAAGTTATTCATGATACTCCGTTCTGGAGAATGGTAAGGTAAATGACATTTCTGCCGTTTCTAGCAATACCTCCAATGGAACAATTGTCAGTATGGTGACCACAGCTGAACACCTATTAGAAAATGTTGTAAGAACAGAGTTCAGACCATGAAGTTAAAGACAAAGAGAAAAAATTCTGTGAGGCAAAGTATAACTAAAAACATGATAAAATAACTAGTTTGTGCTTTTCTGAGAAGAGCCTTAGCCAGGTCGTCTTAAAAAGGCCTCACGGAGCCCAGAATTTAGATTTTCTTGATACCTAAATCAGCACATTAACCAGATGGTAAATAAGACAGCTTATATGCAGTTTCAGTTCTTTAATGTAAATCTCTAATTTTTAAAAGACTATATCAGAAAAAGAAAAAAGAAAATCTCCTGGAACAATAAACTGGAAAATATCTTCTGGAATTGTAGTTACTTCTGGCGGTGTAGGTGTTCTGAGCAGATTCTCATAAGAAGAAATCTTAGGAGAAGAGGGATCTGCAAGATTCTCAAAGCAATCCCTTGAATTTAAAACTAATGAAGTACAATCTTTCCTTTCCAAATCATTTGTTGAATTCTTTGTTTTTGATAATGGATAATCTGTGGGTACCTATTGAATAAAAATAAATCACTATATTATGGTAGTTTAAAATAATGTAGCAAATAAAAGTATACCTTCAATTGTTAGTTCTGTTTGGGTCTCTAAATAGGTCCAAAAATGCCACCTCTCTTCCCTGAGTTTTAAACAAACTTGAGAAAACAGTGAAATAGCATATGGAGACCAAAATACCAATTAATTACTAATAAAGTCTAAGTTAGAGCTTAACATAGAACTAAATGGACTTGTCAACTGAACCCAAGATTTAAACAGATTCACCCACCCAGTCTCATGCAACACTAAACTGGGCCAAATAAGAGTCATAGCATTGATGAACAAAAGTGTTACCACATGCCTTCAGCAGGCAGGCCCATTTCCACAAGGAAAGCGCACTTAGCGTGCATTTTAGTTCACACTAAATTTACCAATAAATAAGTCACTCCATCTCCCTAGAGTCAGAGGAATAGAGGGAGGGAGAGAGGCTAGAAATATGACATCAGTAGAGTACCTGTCACATGAAAGGGAACATCAGGAATGTATTAAGTATAAATGGCAAGTATCAGCAGGCAGATAACCTGATACTTCAATTGATAATACAACATTATGTTTGTCCATTGTGGAGCCCTGGTGGCACAATGGTTAAGGGCTACAGATGCTCACCAAAAGGTCGGCAGTTTGAATCCACCAGCCGCTCCTTGGAAACCATATAGGCAGTTCTACTCTGTCCTATAGGGTCACTATGAGTCAGAATCGACTCTATGGCAACGGGCTTGGTCTTTTTTTCCTTTTAAATAGCTGTGTTGTATAATACAGTAGCCACTAGCCATATGGACTATTTCAATTTAATTTTAAATTAAATAAAATTTTAAAAAAATTAAGTTTCTCTGATGCACATTTCAAGTACTCGATAGCTACATGTGGCTAGTGGCAACAACAATGGACAGCACAGATTATACAAAATATCCACTACCGTAGAAAGTTCTATTGGACAACCCTGGTCTACAGCTGTATGAAGTGTTCATACTGACTTTGAAAAGGGGTAAGGTTCTGATTATAGTAAATTTGTTCATTGGGAAAATTTTGGGGAAAAAGGCATAAAAACCACCCATTAAATCTATCACCCAGAGATAACCACATTTTACTGCGTTTCAACCCATTCCTTTTCCTTAAACTAAAATGTGCATGTGTGTATAACCATACATGTATATAATCATACATACACACATGATTGTACATACATACACATATACACTTACTCACATAAACATAAAATTGAGTTGATATTATAGTTAAAGTTTTATATACTCTAAGGATATTGTTGATGTGTTGTGAGATTGTGAACCATTGTCATAGGGCAACATTTGTAGTAACTGTTAAATGAGAAACTATTTTGTTCTGTAAGCCTTCATCTTAAGTGAGAATAACAG